TAAACAAGTTTCACTTAGTATGTGTGTACACGTATTACACGCATAACTTACTGACAAACATACTCACACATCCACAATAGTGCATATTTGTGTTATTTTTACATGTTATAACCATGTTTATTATGTGTTAATCTTATAAACTTTGATAATAAGAGATAAAATTAAAATAATCGATAGTAAAGAGAAAATAAATGATAAAATTTAACTAAAATTATCAAAATAAAAGTCTTAATAATGTTACATACATTAGTAATAATCGATCATCCGTAGATACGTAATTAGCATACATTTCATAATATTTTCAAACTTACAATAAGCGGCATCTATTATTACATAATAGATTGTCTTTTGAACAAAACTCAATAAAACATATTTTTCTTCGAACGCCTGCTATTCCGTAGAAGTACTAGTAAAAACGTATTGCCTAGTGCATAAGTGCAGATCAAGGTGACTTAGAGTTAGTATTTAAATCGATATCAATTCACACCATATCCCGAGGGTGTCGTATACAGCAATTACGCTATTAAGTTAAGGACAAATTTTAATTATAGTAACAACGATAGCTGACCAAATTGATTGATAAATTACGGACGATGCATTTGTTCTTGTAAAGTACTTTTTATCGCATTATCTACTCGGTTACAACTATCTAGACATACGGCAATGTATCAACAAAGGAAAAGCGACTCACCGGCAGTGTGTATTAAAAAAAATTGTTAAGTTTGTTAAATTAAAAAAAAAAAACGTTACCCCGACACTAGGACTTTCTCCTGAATCATGGAGGCAGTTTACAAACATATATTGCACGAGGACAAACATCCAGACCCGGAACAATTATTTGTAGGCCATACAAATACTTGTTCCGTGCGGGATTCGAACCCGCGATCCCCAGCGCAACAACTCATTGCTAAACCACTAAGCCACGGAGCCGTCGATATAATAGTATAGTAGTAGTATTTACTCAAACGATTTCGAGCTACTTTCGAAGCCGCTCAACAACTATTGGAAGCATTAATAGCAGTTGCTTAAATCACAGGATCTATAGAAATGTACGTTCTTGAAACTGTTGTGGAACATACCGCTAACTCTTCTATCGCGGAAACTGATCTTGGCCCTAATAAAATACCGCCTAGACCAGGGTTTCTCAAAGTAGTACGCGTACGCGAACCCCTAAGGTTTCGTTAAACGATCGTAGGAAGTATGCGACAAGATTCACATGCGCTAACTGACTGCCTCACGCGTGCAAAACGCATTATGGTGCAGGCCATTTATATTACTATAACCTGTGGTACACGTGGGACTAACCACCGTCGCATTTTGCTTGTGGCTGCGACGTAACATAATTTCAACGGTGCAGAGCCCGCCGTGCAAAAAAGTTACTGGTTTTGCTGTCACCCTCACACTAATTAGAACATAATGGTCTATGTGACAAGGAGCTTTGTTGCACGCTTCATAGCACGCTTCATAACGCGAAGCGTTATTAGGTAATGCATTACTCTCGACACGTCAAGCTCAAGCAATTTTGTGTTCTTAAAATGCATCTATCATAACCATATTGCACGTATACGATAATATGAGTAGCCGCATATCAAGAAAACTCTCTAGTTAATTCATCTTATATTTACTAAAAAATCCTTTAATATTGCCACTTTGAAAAAAATCGGCTTAAAAAAAATTGTCGTGGACGTCCGAATGTTGATTTTGTATGTGGTTACGATAACTTCTGAAAAAAAAACTGGCCAAGTACGTATCGGGTCACGCACAATGTAGAGGTAGGGTTCCGTAGCTGCCCGTCACAATGCGTGGGTATTGATAATGAGCATAATAAGTAAGTATGCGGTTTGACCGCTATAACAACTAAAAATAGGCTCACCAGGAAGTATGTAACCGAAGGACTTGTTTTCAAATCAGACTTATTATCAGACATTTTATTATTAGGGAAGTGGTATTCAAAAAAGATTTAAAAAACTTTTCGATTTTTAAAGTAATACCCTATCCGTCTAGCAAATTAAAAAGTTAAGCTATAAGTAGTAATGCATATAAGTCGTTTTCTTCATAAAATGTTTATTTTTAATAGTTTACAATAACATCACAAAGTTATTAATGCAGCTAATTTTAGGTCATTTTCTATGGAGTTGTAACGAAATTTTTACTAATCCAAGTGCATTTTATAACTTGGTCGACTATTACTCGTTACCCTCTTAACTTTACTTAGTTGTGATAGTTAGGTCGTAGCTAGTAAGGTAGTTTTCCTTTTAACTTCATTATACATACTACTATTATGTATATTGAGCCGTGGTAACTCAGATGGTTAGCGCTCGCTGTAAATTTCACAGTACGCGAGCAATCCGGATTCGATCCCCGCCTCTACCAATGAAATTATAATGGTAACTTTACGTGGTAGAGCCATGCTGCAGCTATATTAATAGTATAGTTGTAGCACGCATAGGTCGGCTCGCCCGGGGAAGGACCACGCTCTCACAGAATACCAGCATGAAATAGCAGCTTAATGCTGCTGTGTTTCGTATGGTGAGTGTAGAGAACCGAAGACCCATTTTAGTTCTCACGGCTGACAACGCATCTGCTTTTTAATTCGCAAACAAAGATAGATGTAGATGTCTATGGGCCACAGCAACCACTTACCATCGGGTGGACTGTGTGCTCGTTTGTCGCCCTTATTCTATAAAATAAGTGTTGATTTCCCACGTGCTCGGCGGTGAAGGAAAACATCGTGAGGAAACCTGCATATCTAAGAAATATGAAAATAATATTTCGAAGACATGTGAAGTTCACCAACACGCATTGGGGCAGCGCGGCGGACACTTCCTTTCCCTAAAACCCTCTCAGAAATGAGAGGAGGCTGTAACTATTGTGTATACTTTTCACATTTCCATATACAGCGGTTTAGTTGGTAGAGGGGGGGGGGGGGGGACATAACTCTAATAAAATACCACTTTACATGTTGTTCCACACCCCAGTAGTGTTTTTTGAAAGACCTATCCAATGATACCACACATGATGTAATAGACGGATAAAAAAATCATTCTCCATTTATTTGTATAGGAAGTAACCAAAATAAAAATGTTAATAAAAATTTTGGGCGAGATTAATATCTATAACTATGCCAAATTACCTAATTTATAAGCACCTAGGGTCTCTGAGCAAAACCGTGGACGGACGGACGGATATGGCAAAACAATTAGGGTTCCTTGTTGTGTAACTACGGAACCCTAAAAATTTACTTATCGAGACCGGGTTTTTTTTATTAGCTTCAGAATTATATCAACTTGTTCTCTATTTCATATCAATAGCCTAGTACGCGTAGTTTGTTAATAAAAGATTTTCAACTTTTATAAGTTTTATTTTTGTAGCCTTTGATAGACAAAGGACAAATGACAAATGTACCATACAGCCTATATCTATTTTATACTTTGTGTAATCGGTTTATATTAGTGAACATTATTAATTTTTTCCCCTGTGGGTGAACTACCTGTTAAAATAATAGAGCGCTAAATTTAAAACACGTAAATAATAAATTTTAAAAGTCAGAAATACAATTATTTTTTTCATTAAAATTAAATGAAACGCTCATGAGACGTACACTTTTGGATTTTTAAAACTAATTTGGAAATTTAATAGGGGTACGATGGGCTATAAGTTTGAGAAAGCCTGGCCTAGACTACAAACTTAATAGTTTATATTGTTTAAATAACTGGTCTACCTACCTACAATCGTTACAATTTAATAAACAATATCTAAAAGTATAATATTATAGTCTTATTCTAATTTCACTGTTCGTTACAGGTAAACACAGTTAATCGATAATTTAAAAAAAGTCATTTCCATATGTTTAAGAAAATATAATTTATGTTAAATCAAAACAACAAGTGAATTAGTGTGTAATAAGGATACAAAAACTGATTAAACTTAATTTGGAATTGTATCTAACAGGTACTTGCGGAACTTGTTCTAGGAAACTAAATATATCAGTCCGGCTACTGACCCCGTTAAAGAGTTTACTGAACCTAGCCTCAGAAGAGTTGTTACCATGAAGAGTACTAAGTAGAAGTGCAGGAAATCGCGGGAGTGTCCTGGGCACCCTATAATTAAAGTGTCTTAAAAATTGAGACAGTCTATTTGACTTTTTAAAATTTTAAAAATAAACGTTAGTAGAAGAGATAGTGTTTTTCAAGAGATTCGTTACTAAAGTGCTATAATCTGTACGAGTAACAATAGTCACTAATGCGGTCTTCACACTTTACTATAATACTTAAGAGTGCTACGAATTAAGACATTTTTTTATGTTAGATAACTGCAAAAAATTTTACTGTTTCCTACTAATAAATAAATAAAATAAATCCTAACATTTCCAATACTTTCTTGACATTATGACTTGATAAATGTCAATTTGCGGCCAAACATTAACTATATTCAGAAGAGTATCTACTTCTCTTAATAAAAATGGTATGGTTTGAATGGTTACCATTCTTGCAATTGATCTTTGAATACTATATATTTATTGAACATTATAATACATATTTTATAAGATTTTTATAAATATTGTATAGGCATATTGCAGTATTCTCAACAATCTTATCAAATGTTTTCGACGACATGAAACGTTGTTACAAAATGATAACTTGAGTCAACATTTATTAAAAACGCATATTTTATTTTCGGGTCTTGAAATGTGGTTTCTGTGCATCTCTAACATCTCTAATATTCCAGAATACTCAGAAGTATTCTGGAATTTTAAAGATGTCTGAGATTTCTTATCGTACATTTACATGTACCAGATATATATCATGTATCTGATAGATAAGAGCGAGAACTTTTGTGTTCATGTGTACAATTGTGGCACCGTATTATGTAAACGTCCAACGATTCCAGGTTATGGCTTTCACCATAAGCTGGAATCAATCAAAATAACATCAGGGTCCACAACAGACACTGGCTGACAACATAATAATTTTTCTACAAAACTTCAAATATTATTTCAGGTGGAGACTATAGGCGACGCGTACATGGTGGTGTCAGGAGCGCCAGAAAAAGAAGATAATCATGCAGAGAAAGTGTGCGATATGGCTCTTGATATGGTTGATGCGATCACGGATCTTAAGGACCCCAGCACTGGTATAAAATTAATTTATTCAAACAAGCCACTATTTGAAATAAAAAAAGGTTGCGAATTAAACCAACCCATAGAAGATTGACAAACTAGTTACTCGTATTAGCTTAATCGTGATAATTTTTGATTCTGACTGGATTGGTACGGATCAAAAAATTGTCACTAAAACGCTGTTATCTACATCAAAATACTGCACTTTCAATATGTCAAAATATGAAGTGTCGACTAGGATGACAAACAAGAGAATAAACTTATATTATATTATATATTGTGAGTAAATAACTTTTACCAAATAAGAGCCTAGGAACTGCTTTTAATGGTTTCACTTGTTTACGAGTGTTAATCGCTTACCAGTGTACTCATGGATAAAATTGTCTCGTGAGTACACTGATAAGTAATTAAAAAGGGTCAGTCACAAAAATCAAAACGTCTCCGAAAATATGAATGCAAGCTTATTGACATAAAACTGTTATTACATAGTACTGTAATAGCACCATTAAAAATGTTTAAATACTCAGAAAATATGTAACTTTAGTTAATATTTATTTCCTTGAAATGTTACGAAATAACTTCACTATAAAACAAAAATGATAAACAGATATTTTGTAATAAAATTATGATTACAATAAGGGATTACGCAATTAGTGTTGCATTTTAGTTGCTGGCAATGCTGGTACTATGCGATTTAGCAGGCTAGACATCAGGTTTCTGCCTATTCTGGGAAATGTTCCCTCATTCTTCACCGCATACTTCGGATCACTCCTGACTAGAGAGGGATTTCTCCTTTTCACGCTTCGTACAAATTTATCAAAGCGTGCTCAATGGGACTAAGATCGAGGCACAAGTTCTAGCTATCTAATATCGCACTCTCGAAAGGCACAAGGAGATGGGCATTGTAATGCATAAAAGCGTCAGCCTTACCAAAATAATCTATTTAAATATCGAACTTTTTTTTCTATTCCTCAATAGCAAGTTTTATTGAGCTTTTTTACAATAATATAGTAAATAGGCTTCATATAATTTTAAGTTTAATTAATTTAGTATTCATATTTCGTGGCATTTCAGATTATAGTTACGCGCCCGTTTTCATTGTTCACAAGTGTAATATCATTGAAACCCTTATTTATACTTACTTACCCGTATTTTAGAAAAAATGCATTTTAAAGGGAAACTAACAGTATTTGCGATAATTGCCATGCAGCAGGCGAAATGAATGATCTCAATACTAAATCCCACACACCTGATTTTGACTGATGGAAAGGTTATATCCATATAAGAATATCCGAGATTATATCGATCTAGAAAATTATGAGATAGTTTTTCGGTCATCTTTCAAATGCTATTTGATATTCTGAGATTTTATAATAACATTAAAGTAACAAAATGAGCTACTCTGTACACTTAATAAAAGGTGGCTTCTGCCAAAGAGTACTTTATATATAAGCTACTATAACCCAGACACAAGATCATCCTCCATTTTTTAATGCCAGATCACGTTACATATATTACGATAAGTTGTTTGATGGTGCGATTTATGCCTCATTTGTTGATTGGCCCGTATGCATAATTGTAATGCGGTTACCGCGCCGTTAAAGACACCTGCAACTTAAAACAAAGAAGGTTATTTGAATTTTATCGTTTCTGAGATCTAGGATAGAATGTATCACGTCTGTAAATTACTAACTCTACTGCCCTGCGAGTCTTAACAAAACAGTGGATGTACTGCAGTATTACCATTAGTCGTTAACTTTAAAGTAGCCGCCTTATTTATCAAAAAGTCACATGTTGTTTACTAGGTGATATGGTTTTTTTTTGACGTGACAACGTCTTATAATTCGATGAAGCTGGCTGCACGCACGAAAAAACATGACTCACGCGGCGTTACCTCGCTCTGAGGCGTTCCATTTAAGGCTTAGTGCAAGCGAGAGCGCGAGACGTAGTGAAGTGCATGCGAGAGCGCGGAACGAGCGACAAAGAGGCACAATCGGCCTCCGTGTTCGGCAGCGTTCGACATCTGTCTCTCTCCTACTTGAGTGAGCGATGCGTCCGCATGGACAGCTGCTATACAATAATACATTTACAATGTTTTCGTCAAGTATGAAGTGCAGTGAAAAGTGAATGTGGTGTCAATTGTTTCCGTACGTGATTCGAACCTACGGCCCTCAGCGCTGCAAATCAATGATAAACCACTGCGAAATTTTTTTAAAGATTTAATTGAGGGTAGGTGCTGGTCTTCTAACTGCCAAGCGACAGTGCAGCCACGGTTGTGTTCGGCTTAGTGATGACAGCATTTCATAGTCCTTATCAATGTCAACATATTTGTCAGGCTTTTTGCTTAACGTTGGTTGCGTATGGTCTACGATTAGCCACACCATCAGGTGTATTATCTCATCAGCTACTGCTTTGTATCTTATAATAATTTGAAAACACATAACTGTTTTAAATATTTTATCGCACATCGTCGCTTTAAAATAGGAACAATATATAAATACAAACTACTAAGAGTTACATCAGGCATGTGGAGTTAAGTACTGGCATGTGTGTGTTAGCCCTGGAGAAAATATATCAAGTTCTTGATACTGTTAGCGAATACCCTTTTTTAAATATTAGAAGCTACGGCTTCACCACTATCCCACGGCCCACCCGATAATAAGTGGTGATGTAGCCGAAGACGTAAAATTCACTCATTTAGCTTAACAAGAGCCCAACTCTTGCCTTGGCATCCCATTGACGGCTCCATGGCTCAGAATTGAGTTCCGGGGCTATGGGCCGCAGGTACGAATCCCGCACGGAACAAGTATTTATATGGCTTACAAATTATTGTTACAAATATTTGTTAACTACCTCCATGATACAGGAAAATTGTTTCCTGTATCATTCGCACTTTAAAAAACGTTACCCCAATCAATAGGCAATCCTAATGTGGGGTAACGTTTTTTAAAAAATGAGAAATGATCCTGCATTTTATTAACAAAAAACTGTACATTATTATATGAACAATAGCGTAGATTTCAGAAATAATTAAATAAAATGATTTTATATGTAAGTGTGTAACCATTCCTAGGTTCACATTTATCGATAAGGGTTGGCGTGCATTCCGGTGCTGTAGTCGCCGGCATCGTAGGCCTTAAGATGCCGCGCTATTGCCTGTTTGGAGATTCGGTCAACACAGCGTCCCGTATGGAGTCCACTTCAGAAGCAATGAGGATCCACATATCGCAGACCACGCAGGAGTTGCTCTCGCCGTCATACCAAGTCGTGGAAAGAGGAGAAATACAGGTCAAGGGAAAGGGTGAGTTTAGTAGTAATTTTTTTTATATATGAAAGTGACAAGGTAACTTACGTGACGGTAAATGGTGCTAAGAGGTTACTGAAGCCACAGATGCTTATCGTCCTCGAGGATTAAGATTTTTCATCCTGTGGATATCGTAAGAGGTGACAGAGGGAATCTGAACCAGGAGATGGGCAGCAGCATCTTCCTGATAACAGCGTAATTATAAATATTTTTTGAATTATTTGTAATTTTTGTAGTTCAGTGTTAGGCTGCTGGCTGTTTTCTCCAATAAAAATCGAAGCCCCTTAGTCAACCATGGATATATTTTAAATACAAAATTCGTTTTAGGGTTCCGTACCTCAAAAGGACAAAACGGAACCCTATAGCTCATATAGGTATAAAACTTGTCCAGATTATTCTCTTGTTGTTAAAACTACGAAGAACGGATTTTATGAAATTCCACCCACAGGGGGCAGTGCGGGTCGTTAAAAATAAAAATATTTTTAAACTTTCAATCTAATAGCTCCTTTAGTCTCGCTAAAACTCGGAAACGGCTGGATCGATGTGATAAAATTTTTTGTGTATGTTTGGATTTGTTTTGTCCCTGGATGATCTAAACGATTCACAATTGGACCCGATAGGTGGCGCTGTTGTTGAAATCCAGAAATCACTCGTGCGAAGGCGGGGCGGATAGCCAGTTAATAATAATAATTCATTTATTTCAGACCAATTATACGTACTATTTGTTAGTATTTTATAATCGATCGACCCTTATGTTAGGCTAAAGTTAAATTAAATTCAAATTGAAATAAAATTGACATTAAAATTAATATACCTAACCAAGGTAGGTATAATTTACGGTATACTGGTAGGTATAATTTACGGTATGCAGTTTTATTCAATGCACCAACATTGGTGAACCCCATATGTTCTAGTACGCTCAGAATGATGGTGATAGCCTGCATGCGACTCAGCATCACATCTTTTGCGCATTATGGCTTCGAACCCGAAAATATGTGCCTCTACAAATATGCCCGAGGCGCTACAATATCGCATAACCCTATAAGAATGCTGAACTGCATTATTGTATTGTACGCGCAGATCGTTGTAAGTCCTCCGTGTATAGTTCGCCCACAGGCTCCACGTATAGAAGGACTGACAAGCAGGTTTTGCGTAACCTGTTTAGTACAGCGTGCAAGTATGCGGGCCAACATATTATTACATCAGGGTTATTATAATATAAATGAATACATGGTTGATAATTACGAATGAGGTAGTCGCTTCCAACCTGTTTCTAAAATAAATTTTGTAAATAGTTTGTACAACCATTAATGTAAAATTTACTTTTATAAAAAGTCCCGCTGGGTTACTTGCAGGTTCTTCACGGACAGAGGTTTTTTTCGTACCAGTAGTAAAGTAAAAAAATTACTTTCAACAATAATTACCTACTTGTAATCAATATTGAATAAAAATTATTCTATTTTACTCTATTCGTTGGACAGACAGTGACCTGCGCTCCTGCTTTGCATCAGTGTTGTCACTCAAGTCTTCGGTGACCCAGTGGCCAAAGTACTTAAATTTCTCAACTCTATTCTGACTACTATCAGAGAGTTTGACACTTGGTAGTGATTCGCACTTGCTGCCATATTTAAAAATCATTAAATCACTTTTCTATGCTTTGTAACTGAGCCCATAGGCCTCAGTACAGAACTCACATATCCTTATCAGTCCCTTCAATGCACCGATTGAATTATATTAATGATTAAAATTATATTCTGAGTAAATATCCATTCATCCATCCATTACTGCCTATAATAGTCTACTGCTGAACATCGAGCCTGTATGCCTCATAGAGGGATTTTGCCATACTTGTATATGCCATACATACGCTTGGCAAATGAGTTGGCAACCGCAGTTTTTTATTATTTTGAGTTACAACTCAGGAAGATGCTGCTACCCATCTCGTGTTTCAGTTTCCCTCTATCGCCTCTTACGACTTACGACACACATGGGACGATAAAGGGTAGTGGATATTCTTACATCGCCCCTACACGGGATAAAGTATAATTATAAAATATCATTTTAAATATTTTATTAGTAAAATATATTTCTTTTATTTAAATATTTATTTCGCTTTGCATATTATATAAAACGGTATGGTTTTATTGCAGGAGCTATGAAAACCTATTGGCTCGAAGGTAGAGAATCACGGCCATCTTTAAGCAAAATGATATCCTCGCAACTGCAACCGGGGAAAGAGTTGGAGTGGGAACGAGCAGTTGACGTCAGAGACAGCATCGCGGAACATTCCGCCCAGCAAATGCACAACAAGGAGCATCTGTTGAATTATCAACATCTACTAAACGCGGTCAATTCTGGACCTAATTCCTTAATTAATAGTGCTGGAAATCTGATATTGTCAAACCCAAGAAACCAAGCGTCTACGGTAACGTCACCGGTGGAAGAGAGACGGATGTATTCTCCGGTGACTTTCCAAGACGTCGCTAGAAGAAGTATAGCCAATTCGCCGAACAGAGTGGAAAGGGACAGAAGTGAATATTTGGAGCAGTACCAAAACAGTGCGATCAACGGCCGACAGCTTCCATACAATCAAACCAACAAAGGTACGTCTCTTATATATACTTAAATATAACATCTTAAAGCTTAGGGAACATAGGGCGGACTTAATGCTTTGTGGCATACTTTTCCAATCAACCCTGAGTGCCAAAGACAAATGTTGGCAGTTGCGAATAATTTAAATAAATATTTAACTACAGCCGGATTAATTTCTATCAAAACCAGTCCATCTAAAAAATTGCAAACTAATCATATTTTACAACTCATAATTTGAACTATTTACTCATGCAAGTTCTGAATGTGTTTTTAATAAGATTAAAGTGACGAAGGATATAACAGGTTAAAAATAAATGTGACTACTGCACATCATTGACACTTGGACACATGGATAACTTTAAACAGAGAAGCCTCCTGATGCGTTGTAACCACTTAGGACTTTTTTTATAGGATAAGGTGACAAACGAGCACACAGTCCACCTGATGGAAGCCATAGACATCTACATCTATCCTCGTTTGCGAATCAAAATGCAGATCCGTTGTCACCCGTGAGGACTAAGATGGAATGCCTCTTTTCCAGTAAAAAGGGTCTCCGGTTCTCTACACTCACCATACGAAACACAGCAGTGTTAAGCTGCTATTTTACGCTGGTATTCTGTGAAAGTGTGCTCCTTCCCCGGTCGAGCCGACCCATTCGTGCTACAACCATATTACTAATATAGCTGCAGCATGGCTCTATCACGTATAGGACTGAAATCGGAGTCTTACTACCTAATAAACTGCTCTAATTTATTAATACGTAAAAATTAAACGTATTCCTATTTTCTTATTTTATATTCCAGGTTTTCTATTTTTTGTGATTTCCTGCCAGGAAGTTAGTAGAAAGAACTGGGTAGAACTGCAAATTGAAAAATATTGTTCATGCCCATGTAGGGCCACCAAAAAAATCAACGGAAAATATTTTACTCTCTTTTTAAATACTAGTACAATTTGCGTAAGATTTATATTCTTTGTCACTGACAACTCGCACAAGTTGTTTTAGGAATACGTGACGAGATGTGTCAGAATTTCTTGAAATCTGTCCAGCCGGGTTGGATCCGTCGATTGAACTCTTGATCGAAGTTGCGTGACTTACCTAGTCGGACAATTTGTCCTAGATAAACATACGCGTCAACAACTTCGAGCGTTGTGTACCCAACAACTACCGGCACAAGTATGACATTATGATCTTTGTCTTGTCCATATTCATCTTTAAACCTATCTGTTGACTGACACTGTTGTAGTTATTAAGCATAATACTACTGCCCGCCAGTGATTCTGTCATAATTTCTATCTCTTTGGTAAACATACGAAGATGAGTGATGTTTTCATCATAGATTGTTGGTACCGTACACACTACCTGCCCCAGTAGCTTCAAAACATCTTCACCTGTTTTCATAAGCTCTGTTGTAATTCCAACCTTAACCGGGGCTTTTCCGCTGCGTTTTCAAAATATTTAAAAACCATTCTAATCTCGCTCAGACGTTAGTCTGTTGATCTGACGTCCGAGATATTACCGAAAGGGCCTTTAACTTAGACTGTTTTCTCTAGATAGATCTTTGTGAGATCTATCTGTGCAGATGCATGTACGCTATCATCTATTGAAAACTGTAGTTTCATTTTTCTTCTAACAGCGAATGTGATCAAATATTTTTTGGGTTCTTCTGCGACGGGTCTTGCAAAACTCCCGAACTTTCGCTTAGGTTTCTTAGCATTCCCTCCATCGCCTTTTCTATGGTCACCACCGAAGCCAGGAATGGTGAGGCCGCCGGGAACAAAGAACCGGTTTTGTATCGTTCATCACGAGAATGGAAATATTTAGCTACATACGGCCATACATTTACTGGTACAATTTTACGAGTTCCCTTATAAACATATTGTTTCAGACTCGAGGTCTACTTCAGCTTCTGTTGGAGGTGTGTGGACTGACGCCGAGTCAATAGATCCACAGAGAACATTGGACAGCTTGAATTCGTCTTTCTGGTAACTATATTGCATTTAAAATTAGAAGAATCTGTTAATACAATGCCTGTTAATATTATAGTATCATAAAAACAAAAGAACTCGCTCTTTATTGCCTTTATTAGCGATAGAATTCAATACCTTAACGAAAATGTCGAATTGTTATAAGCAGTGAACAAGCGCAATCGTTGAAATAACTCGAAATAAATTACGTTTAGAATTATTAGCCTCAGATCAAATTAATAATTTAAATATTAATTAGCTAGATGGTTCTCAGCAGTTCTATTCCAAGATATTAGGCACAAAAGAAGCAGTTTTGAATACTCTGTCTGTCTTATTATTTTAATTTAGTCTCCGGCATTTAAGAAACTATCTGCAAAATGTTAATTTTGTTTATATTTATTTTAACTCATTCGTAGACTATTGAAACTTCGAGCTAATAAACAATCTATATATCTAGACCACAAAACTTACTCCTGAGGTAATCTATAAATCAAAACCAATAACATATGTGATACATATTATAAAAAGTATTTTTATGTCTCTGACATGTAACCAATTTTTTAGAAATCTAGTTTATTGAAATTCCAAAATGTTTTCTATAATTGAAGATACATACACATTTAATGAGCTTTTTTCCTTTTAAATACTGTTTACAATAACACAATGATTTATCGTTCAAATAACTTCATTTGTTTTATGAAAATTAACATCGTATGTTGCAAAAAGACGCGAATACGTATTTTTTATTAATATTATTTTAATTACTATTTGCTACATGGATGTTACTGGTTTGGAAAACATTGAATATTGTTCTAGAAATTCTACAGGGGTCACATAAATCTTAAGTTACAGTGCGACGTCACCTTGCAGAGCCGGCACTGCGCCTGTTACCAGGGATCGCGAACAAGACACTTTCTTGTTTGAGCCCAGAGTAAGTATAGTTCTACTTAACTACTTATACCTTGAACTTAAATTGTTATTACAGAATTAGAAATTACTAGAAATATTTTTGGAAAATATAACTAATTGCTATATTCAATATAAATGAATATATCTGTCCAGTTAACCTATCTCTAAGATTGAGACAAGCCTCAGCCAAATCCGTTCTAAAAGAAATAAGATCTTTAAATATTTATAAAGCACCTAGCATAGAAGCAAAATATTTGAATACAATAGCCACTGACATCGTTGAACCAATATCTAAACTGATATATCCTTAGCAAGGAAAATATCCACAGGCACTCGAGACAGGAATTTTAGACCCAAATTCCAAATACAAAAACAAGCTCGGTATGAAAATTATCGTCTAATTAATATACTACCTACTATTGATAAAAATCTTGAAAAATATAGCTAAACAAATATGCAAGTTGTATAAATGGATTATAACAAATTAGCAATACGGTTTGAAACCAGGGAGAAAGCACCACACAACAACATACTAACGGTATGTTGTATGTTATTGATGATATACAAACAGCTGCATGGCATAAAGCATGTCCTAGTAAGACTACTAGGACTACAGGAGTCTAAAAAGACTTATAGACTACTCAAGCGCATTCGTTACTCTACAACATAAAATTCTAATGAAAAATAAATGACTGTGCAATATGTAGGCAGCCGAATAATGGTGTGAAAACTATCACTAAGGTCAGGCGTTGTAAGAGTTGCTAACAGTTTAAGTAACAAGAAAATGGTAACAAAAGGCACGGCACAGAAATCCGTAATAGCATTATTGGCCCCATTAGGATGTCCTCCAAACCGAAATTCGGTCACGGCGGCCAGTCTCAACGCAGACTAGCCATCTGCACAGGACAGGTTTATAATGATTGACACAGAATAAATCGATTGCAAATCCATACCAATACTATAAAATTATTTTATACTTAGTAGTTCGTTTTAAAAACGCAATATATTCGTCATTCATCATTACAGCCTTTAACAAGTCCACTGCTGAACATAGGCCTCCCCCAAGGAATGCCACACATCCAATATATTGTTTTTATTCAAATAAATATTTTGATTATTTTGAGGACCTCCGAGGCCTTCATGATTGGTCATTTTTGGCAAGTATGGTCTTTTTTCTTTTCGAAAAACAAACGTGAAACATGGATTTTCTCCTGTATCGTGGAGGTAATTTACCACAACTATAATTATTATTTGTAGGCAATACAATTAATACTTGATCCGTGCGGGATTCAAATCCGCGGCCGTCAACACCGCAACTCAATCCTAAGTCACTGTGCTATGGAGCTATCGGCATGTTTGAAATTTTTACTTTTAATTAAGTTTTAAATCTAATCCACACTATTGAAGAAAGCCTGGGGAACAAGTTAATTATATAATCTTATTGAATAAAAAGTACCGACCACTATAATTTCTAAACGTAAGCTGAAACTGTATTTATAATTATTAAGAGTACATAATTGTTCTAAATTTAAAAATATAATGCAAAATAAAACCGTAATGCAAAATCTTTTTGGAATTAGGACGGTAAAACTTATCTTCATTTATTCTATATATCTATAATATATATTGCTTATCGCATTGTACGGGGTTTCGTAACGTACCTTAAACAATAGACACAGGTCACAATAGATAACCTAACGTGCTTGCATAGTTTTTGTTATGCCTTGGGGGGTCTAACAGATTGTCAAAAAGTTGCAGGATTTATATCTTTATATATAAAAATTACGTGTCACATTGTTTGTCCGCGATGAACTCCTAAAATATTGAACTGATTTCAATGAAATTTTACACACTGTGTGCAATTTGGTCCAACTTGTGAGAAAGGACAGTTTTTATCCCGATAAGTGACCCTCAGTTTTTTTTATTGCTAATTTCAAGGGTTTTTTTTTTAGGAAACAAACAGTTGTCGGAAAGGGCAGAACAACGTCTGCCTGGTCAGCTAGTTTTTAATAAATTTAAAATTATGTTACATTTTTTGCAACATCTAACTTTTAAGGAAAAGCTTAAATGATGCCTATTTAAGCTTTTCCTAATAAATAATTTTTCACTAGATAAGCCTTATATGAGTATTAAATTACAATTCATACGCTTTTTCTACCGACTTCAAAAAGGAGGAGGTATTCAATTCGACTGTATATTGCATGCCTTAAGCGAAAGCGCAAGGTATGTTCTACTATCGCCTAAAAATTAAGATTCCAACGTTTTATCGAATGAAATCGTATCTAGCAATCATATTATACATATAAATGATATAAAAACCACATTCTTAGAAAGATAAATGATTGTTGAACTTATTAATATTTTTTTTAAATCGATTAATTGCTATTTTTAAATAAAAAGGGGGTTTTAGTGGCTTATGGTGTGGATTTATCAAGTCCCCAAGGCTTGTAAACACGATAACTTTTGAAAATATCAATTGTTTAACTCCATCTATTTTTTAATCTCTTCATCTATCATGTGGGAAGCCACTGAATGAAAATGGCAGTGTAATTTTGTTTTTTTTCGGCTCCAAAATGGCGAAATTTTCGTTGATTTGGTAGCCTTGTATGTAAATTGATTTGGTAGCCTTGTATGTTATTTCTGTAAATAGCCCCACTCGGAGCTGCAGCCACAGAGGGTGCTGAAGCCGATAGTGCTGTCGAAATGTAAATACAAGGTGGCGGCTGCAATAGGTATAAATTTTTTCATCATGGGTGTCATTTTTATGCTATTCGAGGGTGTTGAAGCCGATAGTGCCGTCGAAATGTAAATCCAAGGTGGCGGCTGCAATAGGTATCATTTTTTTCATCATGGGTATTATTTTCATGCTATTCGAGGGTGTTGAAGCCGATAGTGCTATCGAAATGTAAATCCAAGATGGCGGCTGCAATAGATATCAATTTTTTCATCATGGGTGACATTCTCAAGGTTTTCGCGGGTGTTGAAGCAGATAGTGCTGTCGAAATATAAATAATCCAAGATGGCGGCTGCAATAGATATCAATTTTTTCATCGTGGGTGACATTCTCATGGTTTTCGCGGGTGTTGAAGCCGATAGTGATGTCGAAATGTAAATCCAAGATGGCTGCTGCAATAGATATCAATTTTTTCATCATGGGTGACATTCTCATGGTTTTCGCGGGTGTTGAAGCCGATAGTGCTGTTGAAATGTAAATCCAAGGTGGCGGCTGCAATAGGTATCAATTTTTTCATCATGGGTGTCATTTTCATGCTATTCGAGGGTGTTGAAGCCGATAGTGCTGTCGACATGTAAATCCAAGATGGCGGCTGCAACAGATATCAATTTTTTCATCTTGGGTGTCATTTTCATGGTTTTCAAGGGTGTTGAAGCCGATAGTGCTGTCGAAATGAATATCCAAGATGGCTGCTGCAATAGATATCAATTTTTTCATCATGGGTGACATTCTCATGGTTTTCGCGGGTGTTGAAGCCGATAGTGCCGTCGAAATGTAAATCTAAGGTGGCGGCTGCAATAGGTATCAATTTTTTCATCATGGGTGTTATTTTCATGCTATTCGAGGGTGTTGAAGCCGATAGTGCTGTCGAAATGTAAATCCAAGATGGCGGCTGCAATAGATATCAATTTTTTCATCGTGGGTGACATTCTCATGGTTTTCGCGGGTGTTGAAGCCGATAGTGATGTCGAAATGTAAATCCAAGATGGCTGCTGCAATAGATATCAATTTTTTCATCATGGGTGACATTCTCATGGTTTTCGCGGGTGTTGAAGCCGATAGTGCCGTCGAAATGTAAATCCAAGGTGGCGGCTGCAATAGGTATCAATTTTTTCATCATGGGTGTTATTTTCATGCTATTCGAGGGTGTTTAAGCCGATAGTGCTGTCGAAATGTAAATCCAAGATGGCGGCTGCAATAGATATCAATTTTTTCATCGTGGGTGACATTCTCATGGTTTTCGCGGGTGTTGAAGCCGATAGTGATGTCGAAATGTAAATCCAAGATGGCTGCTGCAATAGATATCAATTTTTTCATCATGGGTGACATTCTCATGGTTTTCGCGGGTGTTGAAGCCGATAGTGCTGTCGAAATGTAAATCCAAGGTGGCGGCTGCAATAGGTATCAATTTTTTCATCATGGGTGTTATTTTCATGCTATTCGAGGGTGTTGAAGCTGATAGTGCTATCGAAATGTAAATCCAAGATGGCGGCTGCAATAGATATCAATTTTTTCATCATGGATGACATTCTCATGGTTTTCGCGGGTGTTGAAGCCGATAGTGATGTCGAAATGTAAATCCAAGATGGCGGCTGCAATAGATATCAATTTTTTCATCATGGGTGACATTCTCATGGTTTTCGCGGGTGTTGAAGCCGATAGTGCTGTCGAAATGTAAATCCAAGGTGGCGGCTGCAATAGATATCAATTTTTTCATCATGGGTGTTATTTTCATGCTATTCGAGGGTGTTGAAGCCGATAGTGCTGTCGAAATGTAAATCCAAGATGGCGGCTGCAACAGATATCAATTTTTTCATCTTGGGTGTCATTTTCATGGTTTTCGAGGGTGTTGAAGCCGATAGTGCTGTCGAAATGTAAATAATCCAAGATGGCGGCTGCAATTGGTATCAATTTTTTCATCATGGGTGTCATTTTCATGGCTTTCAAGAGAGTTGAAGCCGATAGGGTTGTTGAAATGTAAATCCAAGATGGCGGCTGCAATAGAAATCAATTTTTTCATCATGGGTGACATTGTCATGGTTTTCGCGGGTGTTGAAGCCGATAGTGCTGTCGAAATATAAATCCAAGGTAGCGGCTGCAATAGGTATCAATTTTTTCATCATGGGTGTCATTCTCATGCTATTCGAGAGTGTTGAGGCCGATAGTGCTGTCGAAATGTAAATCCAAGATGGCGGCTGCAATAGGTATCAATTTTTTCATCATGGGTGTCATTTTCATGGTTCTCAAGAGAGTTGAAGCCGATAGGGTTGTCGAAATGTAAATCCAAGATGGCGGCTGCAATAGATATCAATTTTTTCATCATGGGTGAAATTCTCATGGTTTTCGCGGGTGTTGAAGCCGATAGTGCTGTCGAAATGTAAATCCAAGGTGGCGGTTGCAATAGGTATCAATTTTTATTTACATCTATTCTCGATTCAGAATCAAAATGTAAGTTATGCCGGATTATCACTAATAATAATAATATAATAATAATTTTATATCAGATAACCAAGCGATCCATAAAATTTGTTACTAAATATGAAACTGATAACCTATGTTAGTACCTAAATTTAATTGTTAAATACAAGTGCCTTATTAGCTAAACATAGGCGGTAATATTGCTTAAAGAGGAATGAGTCATATCTTTAAGCAATTTTTTTTTATGTGTGTTACCTTATTACTATTTTCTAGGAGAATCGATTTCGATGATCCTTTTTTTATTTGAAAGCTCGTGCTTCCCATTTGGTCCCATATGAGTTTGATCAAGGTCTGACTAATAGTTTTTGACTTATCCTTAATAATTTATATTAAAGTCGGTTGTACAAAATATTTAATTTTACCATAGTTTTCATTGATAAATTACGTATATATAAAACTAAACATTTTTAAATTTAAAATAAATGTTATAATACCCTTGTTTCCCTAGACTTTATTAATTTGTGTGTTTCTAGATGTAAGAAATCAGGCGCACTGCAGAAGCGCGGCAAATGCTTTCTAATTCATCACCCTTGTGGGAAAGAAATATAAGCCCATTAGCGGGACGTTTGTAATCTGTTACTTAACTTTTACTTAATATGTACTTTAAAATAACAGTATCCGGGCACCATGTCCCTGATAATGGCGGACTCGTGCCCCTCGCTTCGCACGGATCCTGCTCTGACACCGGCGCCCAAAAATAGCACTGAGGAAATAGGTAAACTACTCTTTTATAATATTTATGATCCTGGTAGGATTCAGACGTTAAATACATCACTTGAGGATGCCTTTTTCATACGACTCCAGTACTACAGTATCTACAGCTGGCTAAAGTAATGTATATATTTTTTATGTTTCTACCCATTCTTATCCCATGGGTGTCGTAATAGTCGCTTAAGAGAATGTCCCGAAGACCTTGTGGTCTTCGATAGACAACATTAACCAATAACCATTTTGTATATATTTAATCATTACGGCTTATCAAAAGTTCACTTAATACATAGGCCTACAGATTGCTGTCCTATCGCGGATATTAGCCATAGTTGCCACGTTTGGCAGGCGCGTTGGCAACAGCATTTTTTTTAAATTGTTATCTTGAAATAGGAGATAGAATGATAGGTACAAACATAAAATTAAAAAAAAATTACGGTTTCCAACCAGCCTGCCAAAGTGGTAACTTTGGCAAATATCCACGGGGCAATCTATGGGAGAGGCCAATCAGAATTCAGCAGTGGACTTGGATAAGCTGTAATGATGATGATGAGCAGGAAGATGCTGCTGTCCACCTCCTGTTTTAGTTTTCCTCTGTCGCCTCAAACTACGCCCACGGGTTGATTTGGGGTCACCACTACCACTGGCTTCACCGTATAGTCGGCGTTAAAATATCCACTACCCCATATCATCACGTGGGTGTCGCAATTCCGAATGAAATAAATTGCTAGATGTAAAATACACGGACCGATAACAGGAACGTCAATGGCCACGCCAAGTATGGGCAGTATACCAAATCATTCCAACTATGGGAAAGGCAGTGGCGTAAGCTGAAGAGGCTAAAAAAAGTATTAACAGTAGTAAAACAAATTGCAACATAGTCAATTTCAATCAAAAAATCTGCAGATACCCGTCAAGACTATATTGTTTTACACAAATTTTAACATTGTAAAGTTTGAATTTAAGCTGGAGATCGATCGATCGATCTCCGAATACCAGCCTAAAATGCATGGTCAATAAATATACTGGCTCTTGGATGCGTGATCCAACTCAGGTCGAAGTGATGTGTGATGCGAAGTGATGTGATGTCGAACTCTCACGTTGCTCGGGGTAAGTCCACTTCTGAACATAGGATTCACACAGTGATTTCTAAAAAACAAGTTTAGAAATCCATCTTTGCTTTTTATTTTACTTTTTAACTCTTAATCGAGGATATACGTAGGCCACAGCACTTAACTTAGGGGGCACTGTGTGTTCGTTTGTCACCCATGTATAAAAATAGCTTTCGAATGTGTTCGGAGACTGTCACCTTGGTCGTAATCAGCCAGCAGTACATAATTATCTTCGTTATAACATTCAAACATGGTGATGATGATGGGATTGCCTTTGTATCTTATTTATGTATTCTCTACATAGAAACCGACACAGAGTACCAAGACGCGCACACTGAAATAAGTCCAACCGGACACGTCTGCACAATATCCGAAAACATCGAATCGAACAACCCAAAACAAGGCAAAGTTGGACGTTTCAAGGCAAGAATAGCCCCGGGCCACCACAAAAACTGTACCCAGAAGCAAATAAAACAGGGTTCCATAAAAGAGAAAAACCCGCCGATTCAATCAGGCAGTGTTCTTCCTCATGGACACCATCACACGAAGAACGTCAATCATCACCAGTGTTGCGGTGCTTTCGGAAATCCACATGTGAGACATAAAGCTAGTAACTCTAGTTGTCACTTAATTTAAGTGCCGTTTTAGTATATTTCAATTTACAAATCAAAAATGGACTCTTTAATCTTTTAGCTAAATCACTGTGTACATTCGACACCATGTACTATGTAACACGCTTAGTTAATAATTTCAATTTTTCAATGCTATAAATTATTCAGACAATATACGTCTGTTACACACTCTAATGTCCTTTGCAAAATACCAAACATTATATAATCACTACGCTTTGTTTTACTACTTTGCTTTAAAAATCGGTTCAATAATTTTTCCTCATAACAATGTTATATTATCACAAGTGTCACTAATGCTTAATATTGTCTTTGCTCTATATCTCCGGGCCAAAGACCTATAAAACATCTTTGCTCCGTGCTTTTTAAATACGAAGCTCGAAAACAGATGTAAAAAATACTTGTATATTAATGATTTCTTTTTGCCACTTTTACTAATACTCAATGTGAAAAATGGCTGTCTATTCTACTGTCTTAGGTTAAGTTAACGCAAAGAAATTTGATGAAATTAATCGTAAATTTACGGTAACGGCCTATTAGGTTGTATCATTCTACCTAAATTAGGTATTAAAGAATCAGTCACTTTTTTGTTATTATATACAAATAATTTTAGTGATTAAAATTGTTTTTGTATTACGAAATAAAGTATTGATTTTAGGCATACGTAAAATATGAAAATGTTTATACACAGTGGTGACTTTTTTAAGCCAGATTGTTATTAAAATTATTTTGTCCAATGCAGTCACTAGTGTCGATGAAATTTGAGTATCTTTGAAATTGCAACGTAATAAAGTATTCAAATATTAATTTTTTTACTTTTAAAATATTGTACATATTTAAGTTATTATTTATTTCAGATCTCAGATAAGTTCACGACATCCCAAAAAGAGATTCCAAAGAGTACTGTAATGGAGAAGATAAAATCCCAAATTAAGATGAGCTTTACTCGTTGACAATAGAAACAACGTTTTTAAACTTAAAATCAATTTTATAATGGCTAATTAATGATTATGTTTAGCACTGTTTGACAGTGATGTGTTGTCAAAATATTTAAAATTAGGTTATGTAGTGAAATTAGGTTTTATATTTCACCAGTTTTTGAAATTTTAACCCATTACTTAGTAATGGAATTATTTAATAGATTGTCTAAGACACTATTGTATTTAAGAGAACACGGAAAATAAGAAAAATAAAGTTTAATATACACAGCAATAGTCGTGTAGTTGTTGCACATTATATGTATATCCATGAGAGATGTTATCAGGTTACGTATCCATTCATAATATAATGAGCGGTTTGATTTGTATTTCAACTAAGTTAAAGACAAACGTGAATATGGTCAAATAAAAGGCCTAATATCATGTGTATCAAATCAACATCATCGTTACATGCCAATGATGATGGAAATTACGCTACTAAAAATTACATTTCACCTTGATTGTGCAATGTTCTAAAAAAATCTAATGCTGACCATATATTTATTTTATGTTATGTATTCATTATAGATATTAAATGTTCCCAAATTAATAATTTACAGTTTCCTTTTCTTTTTTGTTTTAGCAATATTATATTACTTATTAAAGACGTTACAGATATATTTTATGTCGTTGAAATAAACATAAACGTAATAATTTAAGTTAATTAGTTAATTTTATTTAATTCAATTATATACTGTGTATTATTTCTCTGCTCGTGCAATCAACTATGCTGCCAGAATTAATTCATAATCGATGCTCATGTCATTTTGAATGAGGTAAATGAACTAACAATACCTATAGAGTCATATAGGGTAGTTGACACTCATGTCAATTATAATTCCTCTTCTTTTTTAACTTATGGGTTCTCTTCTTTCTCTTGATAGAATTATCTCAAAACAAAATTTTCTATACAAAATTGCTTAATACCAGTGAGAATTAATTGTAGTCAAACATCTATTTTTTTAGTACTTAATAAAATGTAATTTAACTTAAATCGAAAAACCGACGAAGTTTTTATACGTGGTAGAGCAACATTGCAGCTATATAATAACATGAATGGATTGGCTCGACCGGGTTAGGACCACGCCCTCACAGAATACTTGCGTAAAATAGCAGCTTGCTACTGTGTTTCGTATGGTGAGTGTAGAGAACCGAAGACCCTTTTTACTGGAAACGATACTGTTGTCAACTGTCCTCAGGGTGACATCGCATCTGTATTTTAATTATTAATCGGAGATAAATGTAGATTTCTATCGACCACGACATCCACTTACCATCAGGATGGCTGTGTGCTCGCTTATCATCCTTATTCTATATAAAAAAGTTAAATCTTCTAAATTGTATGATGTAGTAAATTATAACAGTCATCTACCCATTTAATGTTGTGAATCTCTCTAATTAAAGGCTTATTTATTTTAGAATATATGATTGCGATGTATTATTTCCTCATAGAATACCTTTCGTATCATGATTACCTATGAGTAAATATGAGTGGGTGCTAATGTGTAAAAAAAAGACGGGGAAAATGCATGACGAACACAGCAAAGTTAGGCTTTTCACATAGTTGCACTAAGGTTTTGAAAAATTTATCAATATTTTAATGTTCTGCAATATTATGAATAAAATATTTTTTTATAAATTTGAAAAATAATGTCATTGTGTAATTAAATGTTGTGAGTCAATTAAGAATTTTATCTAGTCGATTTGAGATTAAATATTTTACCTTATTTCAATTGTTTAAAAAGTAAATTTGATAGTCAATTATTTGTTTTTTTTTTTTTAATGTCGTTCGTATTCTATTTAAATTATTGAATGTATTAGATGTACCACTTTAGATATAATTCGTTATACGGAACCAAAGTTAATTAAGACCACCCATATCTTATACAATTAATATTATGTTTTATTTCATTATCACTGGAGATGCTTCGATATATGACTATCATTGTTTCATTTCCGGTATTGTGAACCTCACTATTGTGAAAATAAAAGGCAGAACTGGATCTGGTTTTTTTTTTCATTGACCCCTGTGAACTTTGAAGGTATAAATAAACATTAATGGAATTCCCTTTCATCATCAACGCGTAACCGTCTACATCTGGTCATGGGCCTTTCGCATTGCGTGAGGATTATCATAATCGTAATCATCACGCGTGCCAGGCGTATAGACGATCGCAGGCACATGAGACATCTCGCACGTTAACCCTGCTTCCCGTTGCCGGTCTGGACATTCTAACTAGATGCTGATATCGTCTATCGGAGGCCATTATTGGAACGAAGTTCTTTATCGGACGGTACGGATTTGGCGGATGACAGCTAGGCGACAAAAAGTGTAAGATTTTTCCGTCACGGCAACTCTTCTAACGTAGTGTAGACGGCCTTCGGGGCTATAAGGAAGCTCCCTCGCACTTTTTCTTATCTTTCCATGAAAGAAATATTATTTTAAATGACGCTTCATTTTAATAGATGCTAGTAATTCATTTATTTGTATTTGCTAATCAATAATATAATATCAATAATAATATACTACGAAAGGAACTTCGTTCCAACCGAGTGTTCCACGACACTCACGCATGATTTATTTTTTGACACCAATATCATTACAGCCCTTCACAAGTCCACTACTGATCATAGACTTAAACCAAGTTATGACAAATAGAAATAATTACAAACACCTAAAGAACGGTCCGCAGACTTCTTACATGTGTTTACTCCATCTAGTGGTGGGCCTATAGGTGTAAAAAGAACGTTACACGAGAATTTTATCTTTTCCATCATCTTAAGACCTATCCGATGTGAGACACTATTGAGACAAATCGAAGCCGAGTGCTGTGTTTGCATTAATGCTGACCTATTACAGGTAGCTTGAAAACGTCATCCAGTACACCAGTGAAGAGTTTCGAGAATGTAATGCGACCCTATCTTACACCTCTCTGCAATTGGATAGGCTTCGTAATCTGCTTCTATACTTGGATAGCTATTGTAGCCTTATTATACGATACGATTTGTAGCACCGTCCAAGTTTCGACGCAATTAAAAACTTTCTTCTCATGGTCCTCATACGCAAGACAAAGTGGCAGGTACTCTTTCTATTTATTCTAAACAATTTACCGAAGTGCAAATATGTAGTATTTAAGTATTTTTCTGACATTAAGAAAAGTAGAAAAAGGTATTAAATTCAACATGGATTATAAGCAATACTTATGGAAAGTAATTTTTTACTTTTACAAATTTACCACAATCGTCTATTACCTGTGTACCACCCAGTGGCAACCAAGGACCAAACGGAGTGCTGGATTCTCATAATACTTCGTATCCTAATTATAACACTTACAAAATGCTTTTAGACTTTTTATCTGCAAAAAGTACGGTTTTGTTGATTTAGGGCCAGTTTTTCAATCCTCCGTTACAGCCTATTAAAGTCCACTGCAGAACATAGGCCTCCCTCGTGGATATCCTTATACGGGGGATATTTGCCATAGTTGTCAGTTGTCACGCTTGGCAAGCGGGTTGGCAACCGCATTTTTTATTTTTAGTCATATGATTTGTTTATATTTATGAAATGTAACATATTATGTTGTTATATTTCATTAACATAAACAAGGGTTCATTCTGGAACTGTTTTCAGTACTAAACTATAGGTATACATTGATAATTTATTTTGCAAGTTAAAAGTGTGGTCCCTCAATGCTCACGCGCATCCTGAAATCGGAATCCAAAAAAAAAGTACAGGGACAATAAATTACGTATAAAAATTAAGTAACTAATTCTATATGTTTATTCATAGTCGAATCAAAATAACAAGAAAGAGTTAAAACAGTAACAATAACACAACCCATCCCGCTTAATACGTACAGCTGGCGATAATTTTTTATTCAAAGCTTAACTCAGTTCCTTTCAAATGCTGTTCAGCCCAATCATCAAATCTTCGCGATAGATCATCCGACATATAGTTCTTCCAATCGCCAATTTCGCCCTTCCGGATGAATCTAAGGTTAGTTTGTTCTAAGTAACTTTTTCCAAAGGATTTCTCCAAGATGGCTTCCAAATTAACAGCTCTATTAGTCTTCATGTTCTCGAATGAAAGATGATCGCAAAGCTTGAAGACCTCTTCATCACTTAGCGTCTTATCGAGGAACTTGGCCGTTTTCCTGACGACCGAAGGCAAATCACGTTTCATTTCCTCAAACTTGATGAAGAGGAGATTCGGATCGTGGCGTCTATTCCAGAAACCTGAAATCATAAATTCAGGAAAAATTATGTAACAAATATAGTTAAATTAGTACTCCACAATAGCAACAGTCGTGGGCGTGCAATAACAGGGGTGCACATCCTGACTTGTTTTTTATTTATGATTTCCTTAATTTCATTTGATGCGTAGTAATTTGACCATTTAGCGCATATTTAAGTAGCCAGCGGTTAATTAAGAGCTATTATATCGTAGTACACCTTACCTAATATATGGTTCCACACGGGACCGAAAGGGGCACGATCTCTCATGAACAGGTCACAAAACTCCTCGAACGTACCCTTGAGTTCATGCACCAGCTTGCAGTAGTGGTAGTATGATACCACCATGTCTTTGGGGTTTCGCGATGTGTAAATTACCTGGACAACATAGATTTTTTTTATTTACAGCATGAAGACGGCAAAAAAATGAGAAGTGCTTGTCACAAATGAGGAATAGTTTTCACATTTTAAAGGATGTATAAGAAGGAAGCAAGAAGGAAAGAAGATCGTGCCATGTTATATTCATTGTTAACATCCTCGAAATTTTCTAATACCTCAGTTCAGTAGATATGCAGGTTTTCTTAAAAAGCTATCTTTAATATCTATCTTTTATTCTAAATATTTGGGCCACTGGATCACTGGGACGATTTCAGTCGATATTGATATAGACAGGGAGCGTAGGGCGTTGTCTGTTCCGGCCAATATGTTGGCACATAGGTTTGCGCGCTGTACTGCAGAAGTAAATGGAACGTTGTTCAGAGCATTCTGCTAATCATTCTACACGTGCAGCCTATAGGTCAAGTACACAAAAAATCTTACGACGCCCTACGCATTCTATACAATAACGTCTTCAGAGCACTGATGCTGTCAGCTACTGTAGCGCATCGGGGATATTTGTGGATGCAAGTATGCGGATTCGCAACGATCATTCGGAAGCCAGTCGCTTTCCTAATGCGCCGCATACGGGGCGGCTCAAATGGTTACATGCAACTGTTCGCCTGGTGGATGGATCTGGATTGCCTTATAATGCGACACTGGATCAGGCTGCATGTCGAGCACTCCGGATCTAAACCTAAATTTAGATTTCGTTAGAGCTGTGTATCTGTATTGTTGTGTTTGTGTATTTTATATGAATTTATGTAATTGTAATAATTTAATTTAAATTAAATATTTTTTATGCTTGCTCTAACTTAGATTTAATGTTTTAATTTCGATGTGTATTTATGAAGTGTGATATGGACTAGTCCCAAAATAAATGATTTTTAGTTTTTTTTTTTTAATTTTACAGTCACTCTACTGCTGCTTTCTATAATTAATATTTTCCGCGATTAAAATGTTAAGAAAATTCTAAATTATCCCAATATTCATGTTTTGGTTAGGAAGTTTTAGAAATTATTTACCCGCTATCTGTCGGACCCACAAGATCTTTCTTTAGATATCCGAGACATTTTCATTTTTGCCAGCATCACATAGCACGGATTTTATTTATTGAAATAAAAATATATTTACTTGCTACTTAATACTCATTAATTAGGAACGAACCTTAGGCTTAACAGTGCCATCTTCTTTCTGTATGTCGAGCGGTAGTAAGTCCCACGGTAAATGACTACGGATGTACCGGGGATGAGGAAGGCGATACTTTACCAGGTCCACAGACGTTCCCTTCACTGACTCGTCATGCCACTCCGCGTGACCGTCCACCATGATACATGACAGTTCCACTAAAGGACATCGAATCTAAACAGAATGAAAAATACAACTTTAAAGAAATGCTACCTTTGATTACCTATACTTTCTTACATAAAACCACATATGATATTATATAAAGGTAAATAGGGCATAAAGTTACAGTATATATACTTCTCACTGCTGGGCACAAGCCTCCTCTAATTTCTAAAAGGGTTTTTAAGCCAAGAAAGTGTCACCGGCTGCTCCAATGCGTATTGGTGCATGTGTTCGAAATATTTTTTTTGCCGTGGTAAATCAGGAGATAAGCGCTCGCCATAAATATCACAATACGCTAGCAACTCGGATTCAATCCCCTACGGCACTAACGAAATGTTAATTGCAACTTTAAGCGCTGACTTACCACGTGCTCGGCGGGCACGAAAACATCGAGAGGAAACCTGCATGTTTGAGAATTAATAGCATATTCACAGAATTTTAATAATACTAACCTTTAAATGTTCCCGACTAGCATGAGATTAAAAGTGTGTTTGGAGAATTTTTGGTTTTTTGATACAATGAAGCGAATATCCACAGGAGAACTAATGGGTAACAATTGCGAAGTGTAATTTAGCCATTTAACTCAAAAAATTAACAACTGACAAATGAAAAAAAAATTGAGTGGCGGCCCCGACAGTGTAGTTCCGTCCTGGTCCTCGTCCCCCAACTAGATAAAATGATGACCTGATAAGACAGGAAAGGCATCGGTCGATTCAAGTAGCTTAAATTCCTGTTTAGCAGACTTTGGGAGAGGCATAAGTTCAACAATGGGCGTGCATTACGAGAAAATCTGCTGAACAGTTTGCAGATTGCAAAAATAGTTGTACCGTTTGATCCTAAGCGCACATGTCCAAGTAATTTAGCCATCGAATTTGTTTCAGTCTTCAGTCTTTCAAATTGTCTAGGATAATATTAAGCGGACGGTTCATTGGCAAATTTATCGTATCACTTTGACGTCTTAAGTACATTCTATTGTATAGTTCTTGAAATCAAATCTCAAGATGCAAGTATCAATTTTAAAACTTTTCTTGTAAGTTTGAAAGATTTAGTAAGTATACTCGTCATCTCTACATAGTATAAAACAAAGTCGCTTCCCGCCATTTGTACGCTTAGATCTTTTAAACTACGCAATGGATTATGATGGCATTTTCATTAGTAGATAGAATAATTCAAGGGGAAAGTTTATATGTATAATACTTATATATTTTAAATTATATAATTCTTCTCTCCGTGTGTATGTAACTGAACTTGTCCTAAACGGCTGAACCGATTTTTATGAAAGTTTGTTGGTGTGATTAAGTTGATTAGGGAATAGTTTAGATTCTTAATTGGACCTGGTAGGTGGCGTTGTTGTTTAGATCCAGAAATCAACCGCGCGAAGCTGGGGCGGATAGCTAGTTTATATAAATTTGAAATGGAGTAGGCAAGCTTACATACTTGTTACGAATAAGCGTACATTAAGTGCTCATTTAACCGCCAGCGAAAGTAAAATATCGGTTACTTAGTTGGAAGTATAGTGGTCCAAAACGATTGTGGGCTTTTTGGAATGTTTGTTTTATTTAATACCTGTCAGCATGTTGTAATTGTATTCAGTTTCATAGACCGAACAAAGAGAAAAAATGAATAATTATACCTATCAGAATACAATAATATTTTTTAATATAACGAACAAAAACAGTGTACTGTCCAGATAGCTAAAACCTTCTGCATTTGATAAAAAAACTTCTACATTAGATTAGCTAACAGCTCGATCTCGATTGGGCTATGTCAGTTACTCTAAATAGATATTAAAAATATCTGTCCGTGAATTATAAATTAGGTCTATATGAAATTCTTATTGTTTCGTTTCTTTTTCTTGATGCTGTGGTTAGATCTCTTTTTTAACATAAAGTTTTCTATTAAATTCAAATGTATATTTTATTAAGATTAGACGATGTACATCATGTTGCTGAGCTGTTGAGCACTTTACCATGTATATGTACATGTATATGTGTATGTATGTATAGATGTATAAATATATATAAATGTGTATATATATGTAAGTATATGTTTATCTTAGTTTAAACAATGTATTGTCCAAAAAATACATTGTCCCCGCCAAGTCGAGCAAAAAAGCAGCACGATCGTACCATCCTTTTCTCGAAGCAGTTCACGGCATTTTCGAAACCCTATAACTTCGTTGTGGATAAAACCGTACCTTCCTTTTCTCGAAGCAGTTCACGCCGTTTTCAAAACCTTATAACTTCGTTGTGGATAAAACTCGAAGCCTGAATTTCAACCAATCGCACTAAACGATCTAATTTAATATAATATGTATTACTTGCGAGATTGTGTTTACATGCGATGGCCAAATCAATCTATTTATTTAAAACATAAAAGATTTTTAATATTGATATGATCACTGTAAGATGTTGTTAGGTTAGCTAATTACCTAATAACTTAAGACAGAAGGACTCTTAAGTAGGGACTGAATAAATTAACCGACTTAGTATTACATGTATCTCACAACTTTTTACAGTAGAAGAACTGAGTTGCGAGACTTGTTTTTTTTTTTACAAATTATATTTTTGATGGCATTATTATTTCCAAATAATACCGCTTATTATGTTGATTCCTTCCCCACTCAATTCTCCGAATGTTTTTCTTTAAGTATTACCTTCAGGTAATGTATGACCGTCCGTAAAGCCAATATTGGGCTCTATTTCAAAATCAGCGCTGCTATTATTTAGTACAACTTGACTTCACACAAATCCTATGTTTTTTTTTTAATATCTTGTGTTATTTTATTTTCTTTGTGATTTCAAATAAAGTTTTCTTTCTTTCTTTAAATTTATAATAAGAAAATTAACTTAGAGTAATTAGTAGATTATATGTTGAAAAAAAATTCCGAACTACTTAATCCTTGTTGTTTTTCTTAAAACCGGATTTTACCAACCTGTTCATTAGATCTTAAATTCATAAATATTCCACTATCAAGAACTCCTACATTTTCTACATGCCGTATATTTTACAAAATGTGAATTAAAATCTTAGAGGCTTTCCACGTCACATTTAGAGAGAAAATTGAAGTAACAACTCTTATTCCTTTAAGATCACACAATAATAAACATTATATAAAAAAATAAAGTATTTAAATAAGATTTAAAAAAAAAACCTACGTACTTGTTGAAGTGATTTAGCACCTTCATAATCCAAATCATGGCCAATTAGCCAAACCATTTCCTGTGCCCAAGTGGATCCTGAACAAAATTTTAAATGGTTATCAATTAAAACATCTACTAGAATAATAACGATTGAAATAATACTATTTACCTGTCCGGGGATAAGAACACATCCAAACATCGTCCTCTAGAACCTCCATATCCAAAATATCCTGGCCTATGGTCATATAATCAGCTGGAAGTATAACCCTTCCGGGATTAATTTCAACCATGCAATCTTTCTTTTCAAACATCCTATCCAGCATCTCCCCAGTTTCTTCATCCAGCTTAGAAAACGTCAACATCGGCTTTGTCCTCATGTTTGCGCTTTTTAAATGTTTTTTTTTTCTTATAATTTAAAACGTTTTTAACTTTTTCAAATTCGTTTTCTTTTACTTGCAATGTGTATTGCAAGGGACGCGTCTAGCACCGGCCTCTACGGTAGTGTTATGATCGCGTGCAACGCTGGTGCATCGTGCATTTCCCTCAACTCTCACTATTAGGAGTGTTCACTTTCTTTTCTTTAAAACGCTACAGAAACAGGAATTTGCATCATGAATCACGTTTTTCTATTTTACTACTTAATAGATTTTGTTTTGTACTTATTATTTAATTTGTTGGCTTGCAGTGGCTAAATTTGGAAGCGGCGCTGAAGGTTCGATTCCCGTACGAAAGAAATATTTTATGGTGAACTAATTATAATCCGGGTCTGGATGTTTTTCCATGTTTAATTTTTGCATGTAAAATGCCTCCCTAGCGTGTATAGCTGATAGTTCTGGTTTTGATGTTTGAACTTAAATACATATGTACGTAGGTATTAGAAAATGCGGGTGGTCTTTTCTCCATACAAACGCTGTCGAAAGTTTTTTTTTTTATAGGATAAGAGTGACAAACGAGCACACAGTCCACCTGATGGTAAGTGGTTGCTGTGGCCCATAGACATCTACATCTATCTTCGATTAAGAATCAAAATGCAGATGCGTTGTCACCTATGAGGACTAAGATGGAATGCCTCGTTTCCAGTAAAAAGGGTCTCCGGTTCTCTACACTCACCATACGAAACACAGCAGCGTTAAGCTACTATTTTACGGTGGTATTCTGTGAGAGCGTGGTCCTACCCCGGTCGAGCCGACCCATTCGTGCTACAACCATAATTTAGCTACAGCATGGTATAGCTATATATTGGTGGTATATGGTTCTTTCTGGTTTATGACCTTATAGCAATTACTTTTACAGTAAAATAAATATCAACCTCTTCTATGTCTCTATGTTTTCCTTTTTGATAATACATTATCTTTAGCACTAGAACCCTTAAAAAATGCTCAAAATTGCCTATTTAGACAGCTGTCAACAGAGGCCTAGTGTTCAAATTTGAAAACTAATACTGATAAAATATAAACAGGGACGCAGTGTATATCCTTCTTATTCAGTTTATAAAATATCTTTGAAATTGGTCCAATATTGGCGGAGGAAATGGTAGAGAGCCAAACCTCGAATTATGCCTTTTTACTGAGGCTATTCAATCGGATCTGCAGTTGTCCTTATTAATTTTCAAAAGTCTCTCGGACCACATTTCCTCTTAACATAAAACATATTGAGTTAAAATATCTTCTTGTTGAGTGTTATTTTCTCCTATTATAAGCCAGTGGTTGAATACTATTCACCTGGTGGTTAGTCGTGATGTAGTTGAAGAAAGTAAAGGGTACAGGCTTAGCTCAACAAAAGCCTATGCAATCTTGCCTTGTCTATTGCGTAAGTATTTAAATTGTTCTAATATAACGTTTTACATAATATGCATATGTGTAGAGAGTAGAGACAATGAACTAGACTTCGCCTGGTTTAGTGTGGCGTGAAGACCATTAATCTTATAAATTTTTCGATTTCAAAAATATCTCGAAGGTTTTCGAATAGAATATACTCTAGTTCGTGAAGTCTCATTACAATCGGTTCAAAGCTGAAGCTGGGGCGGATCGTTAGTTAAAAATATAATATTTACGAAGCAGGTGTTTGATTGTACGCGCTTAGTCATAAAGGTATTGACAAACATAATTAAACATATAACGGTCATTGCAAAACGATAATATTGAATTTTTATTTATTTAAATATATTTTGTATTTATAATCTCCCTGTATAATTGTCGATTTCTTCCACGTTTTCTACCTGCTTAGCCGCTTTCGGATCGGTTCTAGTTCCCACTACGTATACACAATACTGTATCGTGCTATGCAGCAACACGTTCCTTCGATTAAACTGCAGCGATGTAGTACCTATACCACAGAACACTTAATATAGCTAGTAGAAATGTTATAAGAGCCGGGAACGCGCGCCGTGTATATGGCTTAGAAGCCAACTACTAGACTTTCGTGACTCAGTTCGAAACACAGAACACTTAATATAGCTAGTACTAGCTAATCTTACAATAAAATGCAAAAATTCTCGGATGCTCTTTTGACATCAATAATATAAAGACTTGTTTTAGCCATCCCGTTACACAAAAACCAGTTTACGTTTTGTTGCATGCTTGCCACATGCTAAAACTAGTAAGAAATGCATTCGAATCAAGCGCAACATTAAAAGACAATTTTGGTAGATCAATAAATGGTCTTACCTGGTTCATCTTAACCATTTTTTTTTTATAGGATCGGGTGACAAACCAGCACACAGTCCACCTGATGGTAAGTGGTTACTGTGACCCATAGACATCTACATCTATCCTCAATAAAGACTCAAGATGCACATGCGTTGTCACCCGTGAGGACTAAGATGGAATGCCTCTTTGCCAGTAAAAAGGGTCTCCGGTTCTCTACACTCACCATACGAAACATAGCAGCGTTAAGCTGCTATTTTACGCTGGTTTTCTGTGAGAGCGTGGTCCTTCCCCGGTCGAGCCGACCCATTCGTGCTACAGCCATAATATAGCTGCAGCATGGCTCTACCACGTAGAAACCATCTACAGGAAAGAGAACATTTGCATCTTGCAAATAAGTTAAGACGTCGCCATATTTATTTCTACAACCAAAAAATGAAAGTTAAGCTGGCGACACAACTGATGAGCAGTAGTGTGACTAGAGCTTTAATTTTTTGTTCCAAAACTAACCAACCGGGGTTCACCGATGTTCAAGGCACAGTAGATTTTTTGCAAAATTTTAATGACTTGTTTGATATTTTAAATTCACGAAATATTAATCAGTTACACTATAAGAAACCCATAAATTTCAAGAACAAAGATAAGGTGTTCATTTTTTTAAATAAAATGGAAGCATATATAAAAAACCTATAAATGTATAACGAAACGGAAATAATTAAATCACCTAAAAAAACCGGGTTTTTAGGTCTTTTGGTATGCATCAATAGTATCAAAAATTTATATCTAAGGCTTGTTGAAGAAGAAAAAAAATTAAAATATTTGCCCACCTATAAGTTTTCTCAAGATCATCTGGAGTTGTTATTCGGTAATATAAGAGCTCATGGTGGATGTAACAACAACCCGACAGCGCGACATTTCATGGCTATTTATAAAAAATTAATAGGCAAACTAGAATTGAATAATTTTGAAAGTGGTAATTGCATGGCACTTGAAAATATTTCAGTTTTGACTTGTTCTTCATCAGTGGAAAAAATGAATAAATCTACTTTATCACCAATGATTGAAGAAGAAATGGAAAGAATTTGATAAAGTTTTGTAAAACGGAAAATATTATGACAGAATTTAGTTCGGAAATAGTAAGCTACATAGCAGGAAATGTGGTACATTTTTTACTAAACAAAATTAAATGCGAAACTTGCATTTCGGCTCTTTTGAATTCCAGTGCTATTAAAGACAATTTTAAATTGATACGGTTGAAAGACAACGGTGGTCTTATTTTTCCTAGCGCTGACGTAATTTTGATTTGTAAAAAAATTGAATCAATTCTTAAAACTTTTACTATAGATGCTCAATTAGTCAAAAATTTTGAAAAGTTTAAAAAGCAGATAACATCCAGAGCCTTACGTCATTTCATTGGCATTGAAGTATTCAGAGAAATCGGTTTCATCAATTTGATCAGGGACCAATGGAAAACCATGTAATATTGTTAACAAAATTTATTATAGAAAGGTATACAGATATTCGGCTTCACCGTTTGATGAAAACCTCAGCACAAAAAGTATCAAAAAGACAACTTTTATATAAATATTTGCATTTTACAGGACAATAAATACATGGGATGGAATGGTAAGTGCAGCGGAAGAAGTATGTAAAACAATAAAAAGAGGCAGTAGTAAAAGAAGAGATGCATGGTGGAATGATGAAGTGAAAGAAGCTGTAAAGAAGAAGAAGAAAGCATGGTTAGACTACTTGGCCTCTAGTAATGATAAGGATATGAGAGAGAAGATGAAAGAAAGATATAGGCTGCAGAAAGTTCACACAAAAGCACTGATTGAGGAAGTGCGTGAAAGGTGTAGAATGGAAGCGGACGAAAGGTTGTCGCACAACTTTAAGGAGAACTCCAAACTCTTCTGGAAAGAGGTTGGAAGGACCCGAAGTGGTGCGACGGCCTTAAGAATTAACAAAGTGCTTTCGAGAACTAATGACGTCCTCTCAGAAAAATCGGACGTCATGCAGCGATGGAGCGAATTTTATAGAGAAATATATGCGTGTGATGATCTTAGTGGGGGATCCGGGGATGACGCCGTGACTGGTACACCAGACCCGGACCTCGATGACACTGAGGTCATCAGTATGAAAGAGATTGAACGTGCGATTCGAAGTTTGAAATGTGGTAAGGCTGCGGGACTAGACAGAGTTATTGCTGAAATGGTCAAGTATGGTGGGCCTCGCGTCTGGGACAGCTTCCATCTGCTGTGCAATTTGTGCTGGCGGACGGGGGATGTCCCGGATGGTTGGCGATCCGCAGTCATTGTGCCTTTATATAAAGGTAAAGGTTCACATTTTGACTGCGGGTGCTATCGGGCGATCAACTTGACCAGTTTAGCAAGTAAAGTTTACTCGAAGGTTTTGACACGTAGGATGCAAGAGAAATCGGAAAGATTTCTATGGGAGGCACAACGCGGATTTAGACCTGGAAGAGGATGCACGGATCAAATGTTTTCTCTCCGCATGATCACGGAGAAGCTTCTGGCTGCTAACCAGAAGATTTTCTGTGCTTTTGTGGATCTTGAGAATGCATTTGATAAGGTTGTAAGGAAGAAAATGTGGGAACTGTTGCCGGGGTATGGTGTGGATGGTCGATTGCTAAGGGCTGTGCAGTCTCTTTACTGTGACTGTAAAGCCTGTGTGCGGGTAGGGCATGACCTGTCACCCATGTTTAACGTCCAAAC